CAAACCGTGAGAGACTATGGACTCTGAGAAACAAACTGAGGGTTCTAGAGGGGAGGGGGTGGGGGGATGGGTTAGCCTGGATAATGGGTATTAAAGAGGGCACATACTGCATGGAGCACTGGGTGTTATACGCAAACAATGAATCATGGAACACTACATCAAAAACTAATGATGTATGGTGATTAACATAACACAATAAAAAATAAAAAATAAGAACATCTGTAAAAAAAACTAATGATGTAATGTATGGTGACTAACATAACATAATAAAATAAAATTAAAAAAAGATTCTTATAAAGTGAAGGACAAAAGATGTTAATACATACTAATTGTGATCCAGTTTTAAACTGTCAGTTGACTGCCAGCTGTGAAAGGATGAAATTGGCATTCTCATACTTCCACCTCTTGATTTCGTTATATTTGCACTGTCAAGGTTTATAAAGTCAGTGTTCCAGTTACAACAGCTCATTAATTACAGCTCAAGAGAGAATTAGTGAAATACAAGATCGATCTGAAGAAATTACCAGAATATAAAAGAAGTTAAACTGAAGGTAAAAATCTGGAAAACATGGAAAAAGACATGAGCTAGAATGAGACATACATAATACATACATAATATCCAATTGGAATTTCTGAAAGAAAGGTAAAACATGAGATAGGGGTCATAGTCAAAGAGATTGAGAATTTTTCTGAATTGTTGAAAGACACGATCAGATTTAGGTAGCACGCAGATCCTAAGCAGGATAAAGAAGACAATTTTTTCTGGAAAAAGATATGCCTTTTGAGTTGTAGATCCAACCCTACAGCACTATGCAGTCTTAGAAAATTTTTGCTCCACCTCCTCTCCTAAGATTTGCCAAATATCCCTACGGGAAGAAAGGAGGAAGGAAAGTAGGGGCCAGAAAACCCTAGTCCAGGTTCACATTCGGTAGGGACTCAATGTACCAGTAACAATGTCCAGAAAATGAGTAGAATGTCCCTATATGCCCTAGAATAGTACCAAACGTGGAACAATCCCTCAGAACGTGAAATAGTAATAATAGCTATTATTATTAAGCACTTACTAGAGGAAGTACTGCCCTGTTTGTGGCCCCAGCTACTTAAAGATTGTGATGAAAGTATCCTTCAACACATTTTCAGTGAGGGCTTCTCCTATTAACCACCCCAAGCCCATGGACTCCAGGTTAAGGCAGCCTAAATTAACTGTTTGCCAGAAACTTTATCTCATTAATTCTCACAATTCCCAGAGTACAGATGAAGAACCTGAGGTTAGAAGATGATTGAAACCAAAGAATTCATACAGCTAATCAGTGGCAGAGCTAGGAGGCAAGGTGTAACTTTATGTCTCAAAAGTCTAAACTTTCCGCCATTGCCAGTGTTTCTCGAAACATAGAACAAGTACCTCCTGTGTTAGAATCATGAAGGACTGTTCCTAAGAATGTATTTGACTTATTTTCTGCCAACACAATGGAGAAGGGGTTAGAAAACTGAGACTACCTACATTGACTAGGTCTGACTGTTTCATCAGTTCTTTTGAAAATAGAATTTTTCTGACACATATGCCCATTGTAGAAAAAAGAAAAAAATGCTGGAAACTATTAAGTAACAAAAAATATTACTAATACCTAGTGCATTTCCTTCTACTCAAATATATCACAAATTTGTATCATTCTGCTTTGTAACTTTTGCTTTCACTTAATATGTTGAAAAATACTTACCCATACTATTCAAAACAACAATTTTTAACTTCTGTATACTGCTACATTGTAATCAACCTATTGAATGGCCCTTTCCAGAAGAAAAATGACACTTTTTTCACCTGGAGGGAATTGAAATAGAAGTCAGTCCTATATGGCTGGGGATCCCAGGACTTTCAAGGGAAGGGAAAGCATGAAGGAAAGGTTCTGATTTTTTTTTTTTTTAAGATTTTATTTATTTATTTGAGAGAGAGAGAGATAGCGAGAGCAGGAACACGAGCAGGGGGAGTGGGAGAGTGAGAAGCAGGCTTCCTGCTGAGCAGGGAGCCCGATGTGGGACTCGATCCCAGGACCCTGGGATCATGACCTGAGCCAAAGGCAGACACTTAACGACTGAGCCACCCAGGAGCCCGGAAAGGTTCTGATTTGAAAGGGAACCGGCCCTAGCAGAATGGCTGCAAGAGAAATAGGGGTAAGGGGGACTCCTGGAATGGAGTCTGGCCAATGGACTTTGAAAGTGGTCTCTGATGCTGAAGTTTTCCTTTTCTGTGGATAGCCTAAAATCTTCAGTCACCTTCCAAGCCACTAGAATCTAGCATCTATGGTGCTCTATGGGGGCGTGATGAAAGGGTCTACAAGAGTCTATGTTAGGTTGTGAGCTTGAGGATCCTGACTTCTAGGCAATTTCCTTATGAACTCCTATCCTGTGGGTTGCCATGTTATAGGAGTCAAGGAGCATTTTATATTTTTAAACATGTAAAGTCTTACCCTGTATTTTATTGCTTTAGAAAGAAAACAAGGGTCACCTGGCTGGCTCGGTAATGTTCCACCTCGGTGGAGCATGCCACACTTGATCTCAGGGTTGTGGGTTCGAGCCCCACTTTGGATGTAGAGATTACTTAAAAATAAAATCTTAAAAAAAAAAGCTGATGGCATGTACTATTTTAAAAATCACTCTTAAAAGAAAAAGAAAACCAGGCGCCTGGTTGGCTCAGTCATTAAGCGTCTGCCTTCGGCTCAGGTCATGATCCCAGGGTCCTGGGATCGAGTCCCACATTGGGCTCCCTGCTTGGCGGGAAGCCTGCTTCTCCCTCTCCCACTCCCCCTGCTTGTGTTCCTGCCCTCACTATCTCTCTCTCTGTCAAATAAATAAACAAATCGTTAAAAAAAAAAAAAGAAAGAAAGAAAAAGAAAACCCATTTGTCTTTTTAGGAAAGGGCCTCCCTTTAAAGACAAACCTTTCTCACAGAGAACTTTTATCCTACACAAGGAGATAACCACTCTCATCAACCAAGGAGCAATCATTCCAGGTTGTTTTGGTTGCTTGCCAATCTCAACGGCCAGTCCCTGGAGCTATCCAAGGTTTTATTTCTTGCTGTTCCTGCTCCTGGACCCCTTAATCATACAAAGAGGCAGCAGAGTAAGGAAGAAGAGCACTGACTCTGGAGTCGACTGCCTGGGTTTGAATCCCAGCACCAGCACTGGACAGCTATGTGACCTTCAGCAGTCAAGTAACATTTCTGGGCCTCACTTTCCTCATCTGTCAAAACAGGAATGGTAACAAGAATTCCTAACTTATAAGGTTATTCTGAGGATTTAATCAGTTACTCTTGTGAAAGTATTTGTAACAGTGCCTGGCAAATAAAAAAAAAAAAAAAAAAGGAATCTTTGGCTTCCCTAATTTCTACCATAAATAGATTTTAAAGTTATTTGTCTCCCTAGCACTTTTGCTTTTGTAAATATTACCCTGGCAATCAGGAACACAGAATATGGGAGCATAAGGTGGAAAGAGTGCTCACTGAGCTGTGACTTAGGGTGCCTGGCTTTGCCATTAACCAAGCTGTGTGACCCTTGTTAACTGACTTCTCTGACCTCACTTTCCTCCTCTGTAAAATGAAGTACTTTAACTTCAGTAAATAACCTCTATGCGTTTACTATTCTTTGAATCGCATTCCCTGCTCAGCACTCAATTCAGTGACTTGGCTTCCCTGTTTGTAAACTGTGAAAATATTTGGCACCACCATTAGCGGGAAGGCTATAGTTTGGGAGTAGGCAGGAGATTAGGGATTCACTGCCTAAGTGGTACCAATGGAACCGGACATAATGTCTGCGAGGGACCCAGGGAGAGGGTGGTATTATCACTTCTTTCTGCAGAGCCTAAACCCTGCCAGACTCACCCGAAGGAGCTGTCACGGTGGTTTGCTGAAAACCCCGTTCTTTTGGGAAGATTACTGGGTCGCGGTCTCCCAAGGACACGGAAACCCTTGATCAGGAGGCTCGAGCGGCTCAGTACGAGACGTGAGTTGACGAGAGCTGTGTCAACCTTCTTTGGGCGGTGTCGCCGCTTCCCATCCATGCTGTAGGAGGGACTCTCTCTGCGAGAGGGTCAAACCCCCCTCCTCCAGTGTCCGCGATGGGTGTCCCCGCGCCGCGCACCCACCTCCCTCCAGCCCCCCCTTCCTGGCTGCCATAGAAACCGGCCTATGAAGTCCGGGCCCGCGTCCCGGCGACTGACCGGCCCCAGGCCTCCTCCCCCGGGCCAGCCCCCCGCTCCCGATTGGTCCTCCGGGAAACGCTGCGGGGCGCCTCTGTTACCCCCCCCTCCACCCCCCCTCCCGCCGCAGAGCCGGGGCCGGGGCCAGCAGGCGGGGTTTGCCGGGGCCGCTGTCGGTCAGGTCGGCCGTCCCTGACAGCTCCAGGAACCTCCCGCGCGGCCGCGGCGCCCGCCACCCACGCACCCACCGCGCGGCGCGCGCTCCAGCGCCAATCGCTCGGAGCTCCTGGCCCGGCGCCGCCGAGCCCGTGAGCCAGGCTCGCCACGAAGGTAAGCGAGGGCCGCGGGGCTCGCAGCCAGCACCCACACCCCGCCTGTCTGTCCTCCGCCAGGTTGCTGAGCTGGGGAGGGGGTGCTGCGAGCGGCGCCCGTGCCCCGCGCGAGCCAAGGGGGAAACGGAGACACGACTGCCGGCGGGGCGGGGTAGGGGTGGAGCTGGGGTCAGGAGAAGGGTAGGCGCTCCGGCGGGACGGCCCCTCTCGGGCTGCTCGGCGCGCGCGAGCAGAAGGCGTTGGAGCGGGAGGCGCGGGTGTGCCGGCGCGTGCGGGCCGCTGCCTGTGCGGTGCGTGGCGCTCCTGGGTCTGGGCGCGCGTGTATCCCCGCGCCCCGGCGCGGTACGGGCTCCGCGTCGGTGTACGCGCCCGCACGGGAACCCGGGAGGACCGCTTCGCGCCTCGCCCGGCGCACACCTGGCGCGGACCAGAGCCCCAGGGCGCGAGCCCAGGTGTAGACAGTCCGTCCGGAGCGCTGGGGACTGGCGGCGAGGGCAGTGACCGCGAACGGCCGTGGCCCAGCACACCCCACACCACGACGCTCCCTAAAGAATCGTGCTTCTTTTGAAGACTGCACAAGTAAGGAGGAACCTCGTCTCCTCTTCCCGATGTCCCTTCAGGAATATTAGGAGCGTCAGGATGACCAGGAAAGGATGGCAAAGGGGTCTTTAAAATGTCATTTCTGGTCAGCTTTGACACAACACCTGGGCAGATGGACAGGTCAAGGGAACAGATAAAGGTGCTCTTAGGGCAGCAAAGATTCAGCCGTCCGCACTTATTTCTTCCCTTCCTTCCCTCCCTCTTCCTTTCCCTCCTTGCCTCTCCTACCCCTACCCCCAACCCACCCCTCCCCCCCGTTTTCGTCCTCCGGAGTTTAGTAGACAAGAGGGCTCTCTGTTAGACCCACCCTCCCCCACCCCATTTCCTCATCCCGTTTCAAAATGAGAGCAAATGAACCACGTTCTAAGCTCTTCCCCGTGCAATTCAGACAAGTTTGGAAATTAAACAAATCGCGTTTGCACTTGAGACCGCGGGAATCCAAAGGGGAAACAAACAGAACCAGACCAAAAAATCTATTCCAAGTTAAGTCAAGATTTCAAGGGGGGAATCTAAAAGGAATATTTGTTTATGGCAATATGGTGTGTGTGTTTGAAAAATATGTATCACTCAAGCTTGCATCATCAGTATTCAGTGTGATTCACAGAAGCGCTTCAAAAGCTGGTTTCTGTTAGTGTTGCAAAAGCACTTCTAATTTTGGTTGCCATGGTAACCGAAGAAGTCGCCCCGCACCGTTGAGACGCTGCCTGGCTGGAACCAGGAACTGTTCTTGAGATCTCCTCACGTCCCCTCATGTCACCATGGTAATAATAACTGAGCTTATAAGATACTTGCTTCTTTTCCTTAAAGTACTAAAAGCCCGGGCATGTTGTTTTTAAATTTTATCTTTTCAGAGTTCGCAATTTGTGAGACAAATCTTCCCTCTCAGACAACTGAGTGTAAACACTGCCCTGCAGCCAGTCGGCCCTGCAGGCCCAGCTCTCTTCCCAAAGCGCACTGCACTAAGGGGAGAAGCCTGAAGGAGGAGAGTGTTTGATGTTAAAGGAATCCTGGCCTGGCACCAGGCTCCCTCCCCATTTAGCATTTAAATCTGGAGTCCTAATTAGCTCTCTAATTGGGAGATGGAAGAATGTGGGTGGGGGTCCCAGAAGGAGGCGAATGGGGGAAAAGCTAAGTCCTGCTCTCCGTGGACTCCTGTTTTGTGTGCTGTTGAATATGCCTCCATGGATTTATTTTTGGCTTGACCACTGTTCAGTGGTAAGCCTGGAAAACCCTTCAGAGAGGCCTCCTTCTGTGTTAGGAAAAAATGTGGATTGGATCTTTAGTTTGAGGTGTGTGCTTTTTTCTAATAACTAAACTGCATTTAAAATAAAGGCAGGTTTGTATGAAATCTAAATTTCCTGGTAATAACTACGGGTAGGCCATAGAGCCTTCTATGCTCTTGGTTTAAGCTTTAGGGTTTCAGTTGAGATGGATTCATTTGGGGGCAGCAGTGGCATCATTCAGATACTTTCATTAGCAAATGTTGGTGTCTTTAAAGAACCATAATTACTGGGTGCCTGGGTGGCTCAGTTGGTTAAACGACTGCCTTCAGCTCAGGTCATGATCCCGGAGTCCCCCAGGGACCCCCGCATCAGGCTCCTTGCTCAGCAGGGAGTCTGCTTCTCCCTCTGACCCTACCCCCTCTTGTGCTCTCTCTCTCTCAAATAAATTTAAAAAAAATAAAAAATAAAGAACCATAATTATTTATACATCCACAATTCCTGAGCAATGAATCCTGTAAAATCAATTTTGTACATTGATGGCACATGACTGGAAAATTTGAAAACCTCTAGACTTACAGTTTTAAAAAAAGAAAAAAACATTTCGTCCCAGTAGGTTAATGTTTTCAGCCAAATATATAGTTTCATTTTGAGAAATTTAAAAATTAAAATATAATGTGAAATCCAACTTCATTTTTTGAATCTCATTGTAGTATTTCAGTAAGGACTAGAAAGCCTTAATTCATTGGCTGATTTCTTTCAGTTGTTGAGAGGACCAGTTGTTTATAAAATTAGCCTCATTCTATTGTTTTCATTTCCTATTGTCATTCTAGAAAAAGTTTTCTAGGGGCATCTGGGTGGCTCAGTTGTTAAGCATCTGCCTTCCGCTCAGGCCATGATCCCAGCGTCCTGGGATCTAGCCCCGCATAGGGCTCCCTGTTCCGCGGGAAGCCTGCTTCTTCCTCTCCCACTCCCCCGGCTTGTGTTCCCTCTCTCACTGTGTCTCTCTCTGTCAAATAAATAAAATCTTAAAAAAAAAAGTTTTCTAGAATTGAAGTTATATATTTCAAGAGAAAAAATATTCAAATTACTTACAAAGGCAATAGTCTACAATTTGAATTAAGCAGATCACAGCTTCTAAAATTATTTTCTCCCAACAACTTCAAAGATAGCTCAGCCAGTATTATACAGTATACTGAGGAGTATTAACCAGTTTTACAGATGAGCAAGTTGCGTTCAAAAGACTCAGGTCATTTCAGCTAACCACATGAAAAATTGAGAGACAAAAATACATGAGGGGCAGCTAAGACTTAGAGAAAAACCAGGATGAAAAGAGAGACAAGGTAGGAATGGCGAGAAGAATTTAAGATTAGAGAGAATAATAAAACTAGGGAAAAGGGAGTCTTCAGTGAGCAGAAAATACACAGATTAAGGGAAAGGGAGTCAAAGAGAAAAAGTCAGGTGCAAAGAGAGTTGCACAGAAACAGACACACAAAACCAAGATAGAGAGCAGGAAACTAAAAAGAACTCTTCATCTTCCAAGGAGAACAGAGAGCTTGATGCTTTTCCAGAAAGCCCAGGTATCCCACTTAGCAAACTCCTCTGACTTATGTCAGAGAACCCGAGGGAGGCCTGATCTGGGCGCATGCTGGCCCACTGCCTCCAGTCACCCATCTCCAGGCCTGCCACGGAGCAGCTCACCATTCTGTCTTCCCAGTCCTGAAGTCACCAAGAAAGCCTACATCTCCATTTGTTGGGCTCATTTAGCTGGGATAATTTATAGACACACTTGATTATGTAATTGTAATTTTTTACTTTAAATTACAAGTTTTGACTTTTAAAAACTGCTTGTTATCAAATAATCATCTAATTTTATGAATTAGAGCATTATAAAAGATTCTAACAAAAACAACAGTCCCCCTCCTTGGATACAGTCACTCTCTGCTCTTGGCTGTTTGATCACTTCCCTCCCTATTGCCGAATAATTTGCATATGTGGCTGATCTTGATTTGTCAGTTTCAGACAGAATCTATGTGCTTTCTCTTATTGTAGGGGTGGATATAGCTCTCTCATCCCACCCCTTCCAACTTCCCTCCCTTTATTTTTGCAACATAGTTGGTGGGAAGAAATCAGCCAGGGCACCGTTGGCATAACCTTTTATTTGAAAATGCCAGGCATAGGAAAGCCCTTAAGAGCATCTGGCTTGGGGCAGGAGGGCTAAATATTTCCTAGGACTTTAGCCAGATCAGCCAAAGTTCGGCTACTGTCAGGAATAGTTGATCAAGGGTGGCTCTTGGGAGAGGGAGGAATTGCTCTCACAGATTAGCATGCATTGTTTGCGTGATTTGGATTTTATACAAGGGAATGGGGAGGAATAGTCGGGCTAAGTCTTATGGGAAGGTAAGGAGCCAGAGCTGCAGGGGACAAGGCCTTTTTTGAATGATTTGGTTGCTGCTCTTTGGAATCATGCATGCTGCCAGGCCATTTTGCATTCCATTTCTGTTTTCTTACCACTTTCTGTCTTTTAAAATTGATCAGTGCTCTCATTCATATAGGATCATTCCCTTAGCTCTACTAATAGTTTTTATACTCTGTGCATTTGCTTTATGGGACATGTGGGTTTTAAAATGTAAATTAAAGCACAAAGACAGCAAATTTGCTATAGACTAATCAATGATGTGATGGCCAAGTCTAAAATGATGAGGCATCTTTCATGCCAACTATTGGTAACGAGCAAGGTAAATATTTCTCTAGAATGTAGTCTTGTTCACCCTCTTGTTTTGCAGGTGAGATAACAAACCCAGAGATACTAAGTGTGGGGTCATTTCTCCTTACTCCATGCTGGGCATGGAGCCTAACATGGGCCTTGAACTCACACCCGGAGATCAAGACCTGAGCTGAGATCAAGTCAGACACAACCAACCAAGCCACCCAGGCGCCCTCTCTTGACTCTCTTTTAAACACTCATTCTTCCACCCTCTCTCTCCTTGACTACCTTGTCTTATATTCCTTTTCTTTTTTTAAACCTTTTTTCTTTATTATAAAGAAAGATTAGGGATGCTGGGGTGGCTCAGTTGGTTGAGCATCCCCCTTTGGCTTGGGTCGAGGTCCCAGGGTCCTGGGATTGAGCCCTGCCTACATAGAGCCCCGCATTGGGCTCCCTGCTCAGCAGGAAGTC